GTCGAGGGGGAAGCTGTATTAGAGAGCTGTCGGTCTGATTCCATCATAGATAACATGTGGCCCCTTGGTTGAACCCGATACTACCCCGTCTCGACCACGCCGCTTGGTCGGCAGGTCTGAATCTTCGTTCGTCTCATTATCATCAACTTGACCTGCACCTCCATCTGCCTGCCTCTCCTCCGTCTGCCTCTCCTCCGTCTGCCTCTCCTCCGTCTGCCTCTCCTCCGTCGGCTTAACCGTCTGATCTAACCACTGTCGAGTCCTCTTATCACTTCCGCTATCGTAGGCAGCCTTCGGGAGTGCTTTAGCCTTCGTTTCTTTTTGACGCGGACTATCTCTTCTTTCCTGGTCGTCGTCGTCGTCAGGAAGAGAGGAAGAGACGTAGGAAGAGAGAGATTGTGTGTCTATGTTAGGCATTTTGAGAGTTTCGACTTGGTAGGAATATGTAGGATAAGAAAAAAGCAAGAGAGGATAAGTTGGTGGGTATAAGGAAGACCCGGAAATCGCCAAGCCGCTTATCTCTCGAGTATGTCGGATCGCGCGGGAAGGTAATTAGTAATCAGGACAGGGGTTCTATATATATCTACACTAGTATATTTCATATTATGTCATATGGTTTATACGCCGACCACGTCTGCCGAACACGTTCTACTCTAGCTACGAGATTTCACTTTTTTACTAGAAAGTACTACGATACCTTAAGAAGTTAGTAGTCTAACTATTTCTCTAGATAATGTAGTATTTATATATAATACCCTATAGCAGTTGTCCTAGTAATGGCGAATGAAGCGACAACAACTCATATTCGAAATAAAATTTAGGTAGGGGGGGGGGCACTTAGGAAATCGACGATAATAGTAGTAGCAGAGGAGCTTAGTATAGGCGCGGAAGTGTGATGTTGTTATAGAGGGTGGTGTCGGTGCTCGGGGTCACGGGACAGGGTTCCGGCTGCTGCCTAAACCTTAAATCTCTCAGATAAGAGAAATTTTATTTCTCAAAGCGCTTCTACCCTACGCATCCACCTCCGCACGTACTACTGCACGTACTACCGCACCTACCTCCGTACCTACATCCCTACCTACGTCCGCACCTACCTCCGTACCGATACCACTATGCCGAAACGGAAGAATGTCACGCCAGAGGCGCTGGAAAATAAGCGTACCAGGCTCGGGGCAGCTGCGAAGTTACTTAAAGAATACTCTCTAAAGCCGAATACCCTACGGGAGCGCGAGCGTACTGCCGCCATGGACGAAGAGAAGAGAGCTCAGGATCGACACAGAAAGGCTCGCAATAAATCGTTCGCACGGTTCAAGAAGGCTCAGATCAAGCAGTCTAGCGAGTTTAGCGAGCTAAGTAGGGACCGTCAAGCTGCCCTGGTTGAGGAATGGAGATCGATGCATACAGCAGAATATAACCGGAAAGCGTAAGTTTCGTAGTCGGCGTCTATAGTCGGCATCTACGGTCGGTATTCCTACTTCCTGTCAAAGGCTAACTTCTCTAGTGCTAAGAAGCAAGCAGAGACTGATCCAGCTCTCTTACCCGACGAACAGGCCAAAATCGATAAAGCTAACTGGTTCCTTAAGCTTGGAGATAGTGAAAGCAAATCAAAGATAACATTTCAAAAGGAGGATCAGGTTGAGTAGGAATGGGATACCCTTACCCTTGGTGAACGATGCGATAAAGCACTTAGGGGCCTTAGCAACGAATGCCTTCCTCAAGAAACGATTCTCAATCCTTTGTCATCAAAAGAGATTGACAAGGAGACAGCGAACTCTGTTGGAACTTTTGCCTTTCAGGCAGCCTCTTCCACTTTTGCGACTGCTTATAACCAATGGTATCGCTCGATCCGGAAGTTCTGGAACAAACTTGTTGCTCTAGAGAGTCTGGTTCTCCCTGACGAGGCAGCTATGAAGCAGATTTCACAAATTGTCGACAGCGAGACTAAAAAGGTAAGCTCATCTGCCGACTACACCTGCCGACCATTTTCTAATAATCCTAGATCTGCGTTAGAGAAGTACGACTCCTACTGCTACACGAGATTTTCAGCCCAATCGAGCGCGCAGTCTGCCGTAGTATCCTTGCCTAGGATGTCGCAGCCCAAAGGGCTTATTCAAGTGGTCTTCCTGGACCCTCCTAGCTAATACCAGAAAATTATAACTACTCCGCCAATAGTTTCCTTCCATTAGTGAGCTTGAAAGGGGAGAAGCACCTCGCGAAGATGGCATACAAGCTCTATAAGAGGGAGAATACTCTGAGCCGCGAACAGACTCTCTGGCCTGAGATAATGGCTGCCCTTATCGAGTGCAATGTCAAAGAGTATAATGGGATTACTCTAGAGGCCTTTCTACTCCCACTACTGCGAGAAGATGAACTATGCCTAGCATCTTCGGGAATCGAGAAGGTACTTACGAAGGACTCTATATTCGCAACTTTGTTAGAGGGTTCGAGATTTCAGACTCGGAGGACTAGGAGCCTCGCCTGTTTCAAGAAGACGAAGAGGGATAGAAGAAAGGGTAGGAGGGTTGGTAGTAAGAATCAGACTATCTGATAGGTTGGCTCGCAGCCGGAAGTAGGCCTGCGAATTCTATTCGCTCAACCCCTGTAGGGTAGCGTACTAGGATTCTGAAATTCCTACTTTCC